GCATTTGTATAGCTCACAGCATGTTCATTTACATGTTAAAGACTCCCCTAGAATTCCATGGGGGGAAGGCATGGCGGGAACACTGCCTAATAAAGTCCACGTCAATTACTGACAATTTATGGGAGTTTTCGGCGAAGCCTGCAAATTGCCGTAAACTGCCGCTAACCTGAAGTTCCACGACAATCTACAGTGCCGTATATTGACGAAAATCCCACTTTTCATGCAGTGTCAGCAGCCAAAACATGTGCTAAAGCGACCCTCTCACGGGCCAAAATGGGTGCTAGAGTGCCCTCTTGGAACCCAAAACATGTGCTAGAGTGCCCTCTTGAGACCCAAAACATGTGCTAGAGCGACCCTCTCAGGAGCCAAAACATGTACTAGAGTGCCCTCTTGAAACCCAAAACATGTACTAGAGCGACCCTCTCGGGAACCAAAACACAGAGTGCCCTCTTGGAACCCAAAACATGTGCTAGTGTGACCCTCTCGGGAGCCAAAACATGTGCTAGAGCGACTCTCTCAGGAGCCAAACATGTGCTAGAGCGACCATCTTGGGAGCCAAAATATGTGCTAGAGCGACACTCTCAGGAGACAAAACGTGCGCTAGAGTGCCCTCTTGGATGCTAAAGCAGGTGATAAAAAAGTGCTTTCTACAGTGGGACACCCTATATGACGCCTTTTTTCATTCCATCCTTTAAAGAGTCTCAGCACAGCACTGCTCCCTATTTTGACCAAAGCACTTGACACAGTGACAATATAGCCCTAACAAAGCTAGAAAACAAATGTAAAACAAAAATAGACTAAAAGAGAAAGTTCTGAATCTGAATGAATTATCTCCTGATAATAGGCTATTTATCCGAGTCTAAACAAACGTATATTTCAAACGTAAAATTGTTCTTTTGGAATTTGACTTCGTCAAGCAAAGCCTCTCAATACACTGGTTTATCTGGATTGGTGTGTGTTTGGATCTATTCAGCAGAGCAACAGTGCAAAAAGAAGAAAAACACTTTAATGTTGATTTGGCTCATGTGCCTGTGTGTGGGCGTTTTCCTATGCAGTGTGCAATCCACACATCTTAGGCTTTCCAGGGAAAAGCAATGAGGTGGATGTGCAGACCATCGAGGATGGATATGGTGTTGAGGGGGAGGCAATAGACAAGTTGGAGAAACCTGAAATACATGGAGACTTGGTAACTTTATAAAAAAAAAACACCAAGAACCAGTTTTAACTGGATTTAAATGAAAAATAAAATGGGAAATATTTGTTCAATTCCAAATACTCCAGTGATAGGTAGAATGAAAACCAATCTAAGGGCCAAAGTAGGTTGAAGTGTTTGAGGATGCGTGAAATAAATAGCTTAGGCTCGTGCGTCCGCGTGCACAATTGAGTGTGCGCTCGCGCGTGTTTGTGAGGTGAGAGGGAGGGAGATAAAAGGGGGATAGTAGCTAATGCTGCTCTTCCCTCTCTCTGCATCGAACTGCGTCTCTGGCGTCGCTGCGCTGCGGAGCGCAGCACCATTCCATCGCTGTCCACGCGTTTCTCAGCCTACACAGGAACCAGTGCATGCATCATAGAGAGCTGCCAGAGCATGCTCAACACAGTGCAGCACATCAGTACACACCGACAGGGCTGTGGGGCTTACCCTCCATAAGAATGACATTAGCCTAAATGCATGCGCCTGCAACGATTAAATAAATAATGATAAATAAAAGCGATCAAATAAAACCGAACGTTTACCTGCATGTGTGATGTGTCGCCTGAGAAAGATCAGACGCTGTGAAGCAGAGAGCATCACTGCCTTGAAAACGATTATGTAGGGAGGTGAAGAAACATCCTGCGACAGGAGCGAATAAACACGACCGGTGCGTCGTGACACGATCAAATGTCTTCCCCTCTCCAGGTCTGTGGGCAGACAACACCTGGATCCGCACAAATAACGTCGATGGCAGAAGGGTCAGCGTACCGTCAACAGCTCTTCAGAGGCTTGGTGTTCGTAGCCTCAGTATCAGCTGGTTATAGCAGCAAAATCGTCATTCCTGTGAGCGACGCAGCGGAGAGCCAATAGAAAAACGGACGTCTGCGCGTTCCAGCAGTGCGCTTCCATCCACCGTGAACTGCGATCAAATCAAACTTTTATTACATATAGTGCAGCATCTGTTGAATGGAAAGTATTATGGGTGGTAATCGTTTTTCTATGGAGTGCAAAACACACAACAGATTTGTCTGTTCTGCATAATGCAGTTTCTGCTCGACCTGATGAGCTTCTGATCGCCCTTCCTTCCTTTCTCCTCTCTCTCTCTCTCTGCTNTGTCTGTTCTGCATAATGCAGTTTCTGCTCGACCTGATGAGCTTCTGATCGCCCTTCCTTCCTTTCTCCTCTCTCTCTCTCTCTGCTACACCTCACCTCCAGGATGGCACTAATGAGGAATCAGAGAGGAGGCATTAATTCTAGTGTCTCGACCTGTTTCATAAGAGGAAGAGATCTGGGACGTTTCCAATTACCCCTCGATCTGTCTGGTAAATGGCTTCGGAGAAAAAACAAACACAAAAATAAAAAAATAAAAACAAAGAAAACAACTAGCTGATTCCACAAGGTTTTTTACATGGGAGAGAAAAATGAAGCAGTTAGTTTTCCCCCATATAATTACACCAGAATATCAACATTTTAATATTTAAAATATTAAAATGTTGATATCCTAATGCAGTTATATGGAAAAAAGTAACAACAATATTTACACATCTCCTGTCTAAGTTTTAATGTCTGCTACAAATGTCAGTGGATAGAGAAATATAACTATTTCAAATAATGTATGGTTCTACTTTTAAACAGCTGAATGATCGTTTCTTTTAGCCTAATGTGGTCTGTTTTAAATAAAACAGGGATTATCATTTAAAAATACCCAAACTCTCAATCTAATTATAATTTTTGGAAACCTTGAAATATCTTTACAATTATATTAGCAAAAAAAGCAAAACAACAACAACAACAAAAACATACAAAAATGTGTAGGTATACAGTTTGGACTTCCATGAAAAAAAAAAATCCAAATATTTATAATTTAGAGTCGCTTAAGCCTCACAAATCCTCATGAATATAGATGATACTTTCCCATTGGCTCTGTTGAGGAGTCACAGGGGAAGGAAATTGCAGCTCATAGGAGAACAAAATTACACAAACGCCTCCAGTTACATTTAAAAGTGTTCAGACTAAAGTAGCTTAAATATATTTGACAGAAAATTAACGAATTACACATTTTAGATTATTTAAATACATTTAAATACAATAAATACCTGTAATTGTGTGAATAGTTGAAGATTTTTCTTTATTTAGTTGTCGTTTGGTTACAGGAAAACAAAGAGAATATCGATTTTTTTTTTCTTCAATTAAATATTTGAACTGAGAGGCAGAATGACGAAATACATTTTAGGAAAAGCTTATTCTATATTCTAAATATTTGGAGGATTTTAACGATATGCGCTTAATGGGAAATTATTAATTTAAGACGGACGACTTTAAATTAATATATACTTTAAATACTCATAAATTATCTCTGTGAGTGTACTGTAGGCCAAATGGATTTATTTGATCAAATACTTTTTTATTCCAATTAAATGTTTAAAAAATACGTAAATTTTAATCCTATTTTTCTTACTTCTTACTGAATATAAGTTACTTGTAAATTTCTATTCTATAATACTGCAGCATTGTTCCACAATGTGACCTTCTTGCACCTGTGACGTTTAATCATCACTTTCTCTTTTTTCCTGCCTATAAATCAGAAAACAACGTTTTTACCCAACTGAAACATCAATGATTTCGTTCCCTTGTGTTCAAACCCCAACGCCTGTTATGAAATGAGAACATAAGGACATTTCTGCTATTAGAGGGACTAATTATTAACCCCCTCCTGCGTTTTTTTTTTTTTTTTTTTTGGAGCGCTCCGGTGGAAAACATGAATTACAGCACTGCGCTGTGGACATGCGCGGAGCTGCAGCGAATATGGCGGCTTGCATTTGATGGAAAGTGAGGAGTCCCTCATCAAAACAAGGTTGGTACCGCCGCTGTCTCCTACGCTCGTGGACCGCAGGTGTGCGGGATTGCTTTAGTTATTTCCATTGCTTCTCACCTGTCTCTGTTTTTTATCTGCGCTGATAGAGAGTTATTACTGTAATCTATGCAGGCGGACGGTCGGAGAGAGAGAGAGAGAGAAGGGGCGCTTACTGTGAATACTCTGAACTCTGCAGATATTCCTTCGCTTTTTCATTGCTGCTGAGTCTTGCACTAAAGATAAAAGGATAAAACATGTAATGCAGCATTAAGAGACACGCTGTAGGTGCATTGTAAGGTTAGTATGTAATGTGCACCGTCCCGCCCACAAATGTGATCATAAACAAATAAAAATGCGTCACATACTTTTACTCACCTTTATTTTAAGGCATGTTTTTTCAGCTTGTATGTATAAATATAATATATATATACAAAAAAGACTAACTTTGATGTTTGCTTGTCTACAGGGCGTCTGGTTATTTTCTGCCATTATTTATATTCTTTGTGGGAAACTGTGCGTAAATATAGTGGGGGGGAAAACTGCTGATGTTTTATATAAGTTGGAAGCTGATGAGATAATAAGCTGCAGAGCAGAGGCTCACACCCATGTCTCAGCCTTGGAGCTGCAGTAACATGAGCCAGACCCTCCAAACTGTCCTGTCATTTAGAGGGAGATGGTCCAACTGGGCTCTGGAGAGGATTTTTGTTGTTGTTGTTCTTTTTAAAAGAAAACAAAAAAATAAAAACATAAGCAATTTAAAATAAAGACCTGAAACCATCAATTGAATTCTTTAAAAAGACACCAAAAAGTTCCAGAATCAAAATTTTCCTGCAAAATTATGAAGTACAAGACAATTCCCTCCTCCATACCCCATTCAATTGTTATATTTCTCATAAAAAAAAAACGGATAAGGTGCAGATCTTTACACATCTCAGCAACATTTTTTGTTTTGTTTTACTATTTTCTTCAAGAATGATTATAAATATTGCCTTATTATTTTGTAAGGTATCCAGAGAGTGACACAGCTTTGCAATAAAAGCTGAACATGTTGTGAGATGGTGTGAAATTTCTTTTCTGGATTTGAAGCTTTATATATTTACTTATTAGTTGTGATAAAAAAATGTAAAAATAGCTTGTTTGTTGGTTAGAAAAATTATTATTTTGGCATAATTTTTGCATATTCAGCAGTGCATGGTTTAAAAATAGCACAGTTATGTTAAAAGACCTTTGTGTATTACCTAATCAGCTGAGTCAGACAACCTAGGCTTTTCAAAAGATATTCAGTTGTTGCTTCTTTTGAATTCTTAGACCGTTTCCTGTTAATCATGTTCAAAAGAAATTCGGAAGAGAAAGTAGAGCCTTTAATACACATGCTGAGTACATTTGCTTCTCTTTGCAACTTATTCATTGAACAAATAAAATCTAAACATGTCTCATCTTTGTACTTTCAACATTTTTGTTTTTTGTGATAGAAACTTCGATTAGAAATAATAAAAATAGTTTTGCAACACAACATTATCAAAATTGTTGCTCTTTACTCTAATTCTTTAGTATATGTCAACCAAACCTTTGACAACTGTGTGTGATAAATATAGCCTTGATTGTGTTTCAGGTTTAGATACTTTAGCTTATAAAATTCAACAGGAAATATTAATGTTTTTCAGCTTTTGTAAATGACCTATTGTGGTGTTAAACGGTTTTTATTGAAAACTAGTTAAACTGTTAACTATTTTTATAATAGTTTTGGTTAAATTTGACATTGTAATACAATTAATTAGCAAAAAGTTCCTGGAGTTAAATACTCACATATCTATGTACTATTTTTTCTTAAGAATACCTTAGATATAATAAAAGGAAAACTTATCAAGCAGGTGGTAAGAACCAACCTTTGCTGCTGAAGTTTAACCTGCAAAAACAGATCCTAGGCCATATTTGAAGTCTCGCCACAGTTTAGATTTTGTTAAACTTTACACCAGTCCCAAATCATCTTAGAGCCAGTGGAAATAAGGGCAGTAAAAACTTAAGTGCTTCCTGGTCTGCAGGGCAGTTCGGTCTGACCCTCCTGGGCGACACAGACAGACCAACACAAACACACCCAGGCTTTCTGCAGGAGAGCAGGAATCCTTTTCATGTCCCACATCCACACATCTTAACGGCTTTTTATTGCAGCTTGAGCTGCTTTACGATTCAGACTCAGTGGAATTCACTGGAAAGAGGCGCTTCTGGAGGAAGGAAAGCTGCAACTTTGTAAGATTTACAGAAGTTAGATTCTAACGTTTAAATTCATGGATCTGTTACCTAGTGTGTAATGTTTTTGGTATTATTTAATTTGCAGGCATTTTAGGACTGGACTTTCCAGTGGGACTGTGCTTATAAACCTAATTTTGACTTTTGACACAAATTTTCGGCTTAAACATTTTGCTAAATACTATATTTAATGGCAAAATTTTAATTTAGCTTGATTTGGGTAAATATTAGTAATGTAGTTAAGCTATCAGGGTTGGAGGAATGCCTCAAAACCTGAACAGTCAGACCTTACAACATCCCCTCTAAGCCTGTAGTTTTTCTCTACATAGTAATGTAAAATATTTCGGGGGGAGGGGGGTTTCTGCTATTTTGGCCAAATTTAGATAGTAGCTGTTTGTGTCTATGAAATAAAGGATTGACAAATAGAATAAAAGTTTCATTGAAATACTAATTCCAGAACTAGGTCTGAGACAAAAAAAAAAACCTCCCAAATGTAGAAAACGAAACTATTTTATGTTTGTTCATTAGTTTTATTTTTAGGCAAACTTATAATGCATTCATTACATTCGTAAAAAGAAATCTACTATGCCTTAATCACTTTTCAAATTTAATGAAAGCAGCAAAATCCCGCCACAAGGGCTGCTGATAGATCAAAGTGGTCTGAACAGACAGAGAAATTGAGCTCTAGATTTGAACAAAACTTCTTTTGTTTTTTACTGAAATAAATTGAGGACCATATATTTTGGACTGAAATGATTAAACGGATTAATCCAAATTGATTATTGAAATATTCATCAAGTAATTAAGTAAACGATTAATCGTTAACTGGAGTTTAGAGACTCTAAAACATGCCTTTAGCTGACAGAGCGACCCACTTAGAGCAGTAATTATAGCAAGATTGTAAAAAAAAAAAATTTGTATAATTGCCTTAAATGCAAAAAAGTCTTTGCATTTAAGATAAAAAAAAAAAAAAAAAAAAAAAAAACTTTTTTATCTGTCAGTCTGCTCTATCAGGGACTCCTCAAGTGGAAAAGTTTTAGTTTCACCTGGTTTAGTTTCGTTAAAAAAAAAGTTCTTTAAGGAACCTTTGGCTATCCAATTATTAATCGATTACCGGTAATCAAAAAAATAACAGCTTAATCGATTCGCAAAATAATCCTTTGTTGCAGCCCTTCATATATAACTTTAAAAAGAAATGGCTACATCAAAGACAGAAAAGACAAAATGAAGTGTGGGATTTTTAAATTTTTTTTTTTCTTACAGTATTTTACATTCTTGCAAAATATCTGTAAAAAGCCTTAAAATGAATAGTCTTTCCTTAAAAGAAAGTTTAATATTGTGCTGTAAATTCAAAAAATCCTATCAATTTTCCTTCACCAAAAACTTTATTTGTGTCCCTAGTATGCCTTGTTTGTTATCTTTTTAATATTTGCTCTGACTGATAGGGTGCAGGTGAGCAGCTTTTCTCCTGCAGCCATTTACTAACTCATTATATTGATACTGGTTTACTTGAATGACATCTTGTCTCATCTTTCCCATTTTGAAAAGTGGTTCAGACAAAAGGGCCCTCGGTCTCACAGATTTGTAGTAAATACTTCCTTAACACTCTCATCAACCAGAAAAAGGGACCTTTAAAAATGCATTTGCTACATTTTTGGTTTAAGTTTTGTTAAGGTTGAAACTAGATGTGTGAAAAAAAGACACCTTAAAGTGATTTTTTTTTGTATTAAATTTAAAATTATAATTTCAAATCATGCTGTAATAAAATACCAATTTATTAAAACTTTTTAAATGTGTCTTTTGCAAAAGGGGAGTGCACTGTTGTTAAAAGCAAGGGGTCGTGTAAGAGGATCAATATGTTATGTTTTAAATAAAGCCGATTCTGAGAGCCTAAATAAAGCTGTCATATTATAAACAGAGCCTCGCATGTGACAATGATGCAACCTTATTTTTTAATTAGAAAATAGGTATTTCAATTTTTTTATTTTTTTCCCCCTTTAGTATTAACGTGTCATTCCAATGCAATAAAATTCCAATGTTTGAATGAAACATCAAAACTTCCAGATGGCTTCAACACTAAAGGAGAACCTTTTTTTAAATGATATTCAGAAACATATATTTTTTTTTTATTCACTGAACCTTCGTGCCGTAATTAAAAACGTGAGCTCTGTTTTTCCTGTTTCTCGGTAGGTTACCTCTTATCCAACTTGTCTGGTCATCATGGGCCGAACGCCACAAAGAGGTAGGCATACATTGTTAATTTTGTAGAATTGTTCTTCTGTTTTACCATTTTATTAGTGTTTTTGGTGCTTAATGTCTACTGATGTTCATCTCATTTTCTAATTCCAGATCCAAAAGAGGAGAAGAAGGAGAGGCGGAGCAGCATCACAGCAGGCTCTGCCCTCGACAAATCAAACGGTCAGCTATTCAGACCTCTGTCATGCTGCTTTTTATTGTTGAGCTTTTCAGTCACACTTCGCTGCTAAGGCCTTATCTAACGATTAAATCACATTTTGGTAACCAGGAAAAGAACTCATTTTAAAACTGTTGAAAATAGGAGCATTGTATAAGTAGTTATTTTAGATTTCAGAGCCATATTTTTTGTATATTTGCATGTTTTTATGATACTTTTATTAGATTTTTAAAGCAGCTGTAAGTACTAAGCAATATTTTAAGATCAACAGCTTTGTTTAATTTAATCAGTTTGTCCCTCTTGTCTTTGTTAATAGAGCCTTTTAGTTGGGAAGACTATCTGAGAGAAACCTCGTCGGTAGCAGCATCACCTTCTTGCTTCAAACAGGTACCTGATCTTCACAGGATGCATGTTGATTACATTTTCAGTTTCTTTGTTTTTAGTTATTTCATCAATCCTCCTGCTCACTTTTTCTACCTACATTTATCCCTTAGTGTTATGTGTAAGATTGAACTTAGTTGTTCTCTTTCATAAATTACTGTTGCGTCATTTGAAGGATCTTTTTATGTTTGATTTGACGTGCAAAAGATACAAACTATAATTGTTGTTTACTGCGACACATATGGAGATTTACATATTTTGGCAGAACAACTTGATTCTCTCAAAAGGAAAAATTTAAGATTAGCATGACCAACTGTTTTACTAAGATGTCAAAACAATTTAAAAGCACTTTAGTAAATGTTTAGTTTAGTTTTTTCCACAGAGCTCTGTTAAATAAGCTGTAATTGAAATAGTTTTTGAAAATGGTGTTTTGTGTTAATTTTTTATTACTTATATGCATGATAAATGTAAAACTCTGACTTTTTTAAATGCTGCACCAAAAATTTAATCAAAGTAATAAAATAACTAAAACTTATATGCATGATTTATATGCATGATTAATGGAATACTCTGACTTTTTTAAATGCTGCACCAAAAATTTAACCAGAGTAAAAAAATGACTAAAACTAGTACTTGCACTCATTAAAATTAAACCAGTACTAAGAATTATCAAATGATTGTAACTAATAAGATTTCCTTTATGTAAGTAATTGAAACTAACTGAATTATAGAAAAAAAACTAGCTACAGCTAAATAAAAAAAAAACTAGAATGAAAAATTGTAAGCTATTATAACCTTGGTGGTGATGCATGAGTTATCATTGAATATGCCAAATGTGTGCCTTGATTGGCTCTGATTGGTCACTGGCCTATTAAATACTGAAAAAGAAAGACTTTTTACTGTTATTAAATTTAGTTGGTCCTTAATTGCATTAAAAGTCAGCATATTCTTTGATGCACTTGAGCAAAAGCCAGAGAGAAAAACTGTGATGAATAAATGGGGCGATCTTACTTCGCTAACATTTACTGAATTATATAAATCATCTATTAATTACATATTCTGAAAATTAGTAAAGGATTATTACACTTAACTTGAAAACATATATACCGTATATATATATATATATATATATATATATATATATATATATATATATATATATATATATATATATATATAAGTTAAAGATTAATTAATTATTAGAATAAGTTGATAATTGTTTTAATAACTGATTAATCATCATTAAGCCAATCATTTGTTTCAGCCTTAGAGTCATTTCCTCTCCATATTGAAAGTATTAGGTTTAATGTTAGGTGGTGGAAGAGCTGACGTGTGGGAATGATCAACCAATCATGAGGGGGATTGGGATGATTTGATGATGTTTAAAAAAATATATCAATTTAGGCTAAACATCATTGTAAAAATGTAAACAATATTTCCGTGCAGTCAGAATAACTCCTTTCATATCCGTAGTTCATCCAGAGTTTTAATTCTGCCAAATAGGACTTTCACAATAAATAATAAATAAATTATTGGCATAATGAAAGTGTTAATTTAACACTTTTTTACTCCAATTTAGTGGTTCTCAAACTTTTCTAAGTGGATCTCTGCTGTGGGAAAAATATTTCTATATTTATGCCCTCTATTTTAAAACCTGAATGTGAGCTCATTTTGTTTTCTGTGTTGCATAACTGTATTAACCCAGGCTGCACATTTGCTAGAAAAAGCTAAGCCTTAACACTTATCTAACTGACACCTGAGAATCTGTATTCCAGTGAGATGTTCTGGAAAGGAATTCAGTGTCTTTCACCATCCCTGTTTAAATTACTGCTATTTAAATCCCCCTCAGCTGTTTAAGTGTCAAGTATTAGTTTGATTCTTTGACCAGAACTGACTGGCAAAAACTGCATCTGTTCTCCCTTGCAAGGATAAATAAATGCTGGTTAAATGAAGACCACAAATCTTGCTCATGTTGGTTAGACTAGTAATTTTTATTGTGGAAACAGCTCCACCTTTAATTAAAAAAAAAGGTTTTCCCTTTTCTGACGAGTCTGTTTAATAGTTGAACGAAAAAGTGTCAACTGAAGTTAACAATATCATCGTAAAATAAACTAAAATTCATCATATTGGACTAATTGGTAGAATTTGAAGAACACTGAGTAGTATGGAAAAGTTAGTTCTGCCCAAAAAAAATCAGAGGAGTTAAATTAAGCAACTCTATTTAGTGTAGATTTTAAAATAAACACTGAACAGAGTTTCTCCCAGAATTCTATTCTACTTGGAAATCTTTGTTTGAAGACTGAGGAAAGTTTCAGAGCTAAAACACTGAACAGAGAGCCAGGTTTGAGCCTGAAGTTTATATATAGTCAATCTATCTATAGTGAATAGTTTGCTTTGTTAGCTACATGACCTGAGTAATCCTCACCCCTCTTAAAACGCATGCACTAAAAGCAATAGTTGTGGAATTTAGGGTTGTGGCTCAGGATGCAGAAGTCCGGCTTGGTCACCTGTTTAAATCCCAGCTCCATCCATCTCAGCCATGTCCTGCAGAAACACACTCCACCCACTTTGCTTACTGATGGTGGTCAGTAAGCAGGTCATGTCAAAAGTTAAGTCTATAAACCATTGTTAGATGAATTCATACCTGATAAATGTTGAACTAAAACTGTTTGGTTCTGACTTTGTCACAGTTTTTTTTACCCCTTTTAATGTTATTTCAACTCAGTTTAATGTGGAACAATATACTTTAAAAGTGTTGAATTGAGCACTTCCAAATTTGCTGCCTGTGCTTCTTTCCTCTTGTCTCTCTCCATTTATACTAAAAGATGTAGATGACAAAAAGTTTCACTCTGGTCTCCACTCATCCCTTCTCTTATCATTTGTGTTGCATAGCATGAGGGCCATGTGACTATGAAGCAGCAAGCCACTGAAATGCTTTTTGAGATTTTGAAAAAGAGAGGAAATTGCTTTCAATGGCAATGCAACAGCTTGAGTGTGGGAGCTCTTTGGATTTAAACTAAATGACAATATTATCATTTAATGCAATAATTTCTGTGGAAATTTATCATCCAACAATATTTGTTCTGTTACAGACCTGGTACGGAATAAAATAGCTGCTTCACATTTAAGGTATAAAATGATAACCCAGATTTAAAGTTTAGACTGTTCATACAATTTATAAGGAATTTAATTCAATCTATCAATCATAACCGGACACAAAATGTGCACACAGTAGAAAAAAATCCTTTACAAAAAAAAAAAGATAAATTGGCCAAAATTTAAATTGGCAGATCAGACCAGAACTGAATCAGTTCTGCCTATTTAAAGCCTTGGTCTTGGCCACATTTAAGCCACATGAACAAGGAAACCAGTTAAAATGACTGAATGGGTCTTTTTCTCTCTCTGCAGTCCAGAATCCCACCTTCCAATGATTTCAAAGCAGGTATGAAGCTTGAGGCTCGAGATCCCCGCAACTCTAATTCAGTCTGCATTGCCACGGTGATGGGCATGATGGGCACTCGCCTGCGACTCCGCCTAGATGGCAGTGACAACACAAATGACTTCTGGCGGCTGGTGGACTCTTCAGAGATCCAGCCGATAGGAACATGTGAAAGGAGTGGAGACATGCTGCAGCCCCCACTGGGTGAGCATTTTTAACCCCTAGAGCTCAAAACTGGTTCTCAATTAATTTAGAAGTAGTATTAAGGAACCACAGTAGCACAGTTGTCATTCGAGATTTCAAATATGTCACATGCATTAGTTTTACATACCTTATTCTAGTTTACAAAAAATATGAGCAATTTAGTTGGAGTATTTGGATATGTACAGCCAGATAATTAAAGTGTTAAACATGATAAATTGTAATACAGTGAAAAACATTTATATTGGACAACTCACTTTTTTAAAGTTTCTTTGCCATTTCTACCCTCATTGAACTCACTTCTTTGTATCCAATTTTCCTCCATTAAAAAGGCACAAAAGCAGGCCCAGAATTTATTGGAAAAATTCACAAGATCCAGATGTGTTAATGATTTTTACACCATGTCCAGGTTTCAGGATGAATGCATCATCATGGCCCATGTTTCTCCTGCGGACGCTAAGTGGTGCAGAGATAGCTCCCGCCTCTGCTTTTAAGAAGGTAAGAAGGCAACCCGAAGAAGATCTAACTTCTAGAATAATATGATGAACGTGTCACAAAGGAAGATCTCATCACTGATTCCCATATTTTTCTGAAGGTTTATTATTATTCAAACAAAGTCTGTATTTGATTAATAAAAATGTTTTTACGACCATTATTTATGTTACTGTTGGGTGTGCCAAAATTACAGGGATATACAACGATTAAAACATTACCCTGTGAAAGTATTAAACTTTGTTAGATTTATCTTAACAACCTTCAATCAACATTGTGGTGGTTTTAAAAACAGACCAACATACATTAAAACATAAATATTATGTTTAATAATAACTGTATGTATTCTGTTTTTTTTTTTTTTTTACCATATTTTAACAACTCCAGTTAAACTCCAGAGGCCCGTTTAACTAAGAAGGTTGACTGAAAACTCTTAAGTTTTCTAAACATATAAGCACTGAAATTCTGAATTCTCCGTTTTACAAATAGAGTTTACTCAACCTTCTGTTACCATACTGTAGTAACATTCTTACCAGAGCTAACCTGGTCGGGAGCAGTTTTTTCTTAGTAAACTTAGAGTGTCTTCTGTCTCCACTCTCCTTAAAAACAATCACATTGTTTTATTTTCAGGGGTCAGTTTCAGAAAGCAGGTTTAACCAACACAGACTCAAATCCTCGACTCTGAATTGATCTAGTTTAAGGTCAGAATCAGAATTGTCATAACAGATTTTCTAAATTACATTTTTGCAGCAAAAACTGAATTTCGGAAAGTAAAAAAGCAAAATTATACTGGTAAGAATTAACTGTTATATACCTATACATGTTTACACATTTTAAGAGGCAGTTTTGAAGTTTATCAGCTTGACTGAATATGTGTTATATGTGAAATACATTTCTTCATTGTCAAAGTAGTAAGAATGATGACCAGTAACAATAGGAATATGGAGATCTGAAATACATTTTTAGACAAATTGAATGTTTATTCTAAATGTGAAGAGTCATTTTGTTTTTAAAATGGTAATTTTGAAGGGGAAAAAAAAGGTTTTTTCAGATATCAGAATTACGTATTCAAAATAATACATATCAAAACTGCCTGCCATAGCCTGTTGTGACCACGATAACATTACAGTGAAAACTAGTTTATTGCCTGGATGGTAGTGGATCAAAGTATCTAGGTAAAATTAGCTGTCAGCAGGTGAAGATGAAGTAATTACAAATGTTGTTCTAACAGATAGGACCTGGGATCCGTTTCAAGAAGCAGGTTTAAACCTGAAATCAGGGAAACTGGGAGTTTTCCGAATTTACCTGGTCGAGAGCAGGTTTTTTTTTAAATTAAACTCACAGTGTCCTCTGTGTCCGCTCTCCTTTTTTGTCATAGTTTTGTGCATAAAATAAAAAAATATAATTCACTGGGTCTATTAGACACCTTAGGTTTTAAAACAAACATTGTATGTCCATTTGATGAGAATCTTATTAAAGAATGTTCAAAATTAATTCACAGAGAATTCAATATTTATAGGGAGAGTATTCTACAACTCTATGTATATAAATACACTAATGTAAATATGTGTATCTATACAGTAACAGTTTGCACAAGGTTTGTAGAGTTTGATGCTCTATCTCAAGCATCACTGTCCACCTCTGCCCTCCTGCTCCTCCTCATCCCGAGCTTCAAAATGTGGGGGATTGTAAAAGCAGAGTTAGGTTCTACAACAACATCCATATATGTTAAAATTTCACAAAGTACTGCTTAATATATCAACTGAAAGTGAACGACTCACCTTCAAACCTACTAAGACAAAACCATCTACATAAACTGAATTGAAAAGAGAGGATAGAAGCAGCAGAGACATCCATGAACAACAGAGATGCAAACCTTACATACAAGAAACTAGAATCTAATTATTGGTCCAATACAATGAAATGATTAATATATATTGGTCACTTATTAAGTTGTGAATTATAATATGTTTTGATTGTGATAATAATTCACATGTTATTGCTTTAGGAGCCAGCAAGCCCGTCTAAAAACTACTTCCAACCTGGCATGAAGCTGGAAGCAGTGGACAGGAAAAACCCTTACCTGATTTGTCCTGCCACAGTGGGAGAGGTCCGAGGCCAGGAGATTTTTGTTATGTTTGACGGCTGGCGAGGCGCCTTTGACTACTGGTGCCCCTTTGACTCCAGAGACATATTCCCTGTTGGTTGGTGTTCCCTGACGAAGCACAGCCTACAGCCGCCAGGAAACTTCTGTAAGTGCTGCTTTTATCTGTTTTTGTTTAACAAGGCAAGATTTTAATTAAAACCTTTTGGATCCTGATGAATCTTTAATTATCTTTTTGGGAAGAAATAGCTTTGAATAGAGTAGGCCTATATTTAACTTCAAGGGGGGCTCAATTTCAAATCAGTTTTATATATTTAACTCAGATTAAACCTAGAAATGCAAATGTTGGAGAAGATTATCAGTCATCCAAGTTATGGTCATTTTCTAGAAATGCAAACATTTAATTCCCCTTTTAAGGTGGTTTATCCGATTTGAAAATATTTATTTAATAATCCGGAAATCTGATATTGTAATACATATCTTGCAAATGTTTTACAAGCCTAACAGAACATGTGGACCTTGTCCTTTTGTTGTTTGTATTTTTCTTCCCCATTTTTTTTACACTATATATCTTTTCACCACTAGAGGGTAGCAGAGTTTAGATTCTGGTATTTGAAAGCAGTCTGAGGTTTATTCATCTTTCAGATGAATAAGAAAAGCATTTATTTGTAGGTATTGTTGATTCTACGCTTTGTATAAATTCTAATTGGGAGAAGAAGGATAATTTCTACTGCAACACGGATAATCCTTATTATAAGTTTGTATATTTAAATGGACATTTTTCAACACAATGTTAACCCTCATGGTGCCAAGAAGAGTATAGTTTTATTAATGAATCTTTCACATTTTGGACATGGTTTTAAGATTTCTCAAACCAGTGGATAAAAAAATGTAAAATTGTCAAATTTAGCAAGCCCAATAGCAGCAAAAAAGAAAGAAAGAGAGAGAAAGAAAAAGAGAAAAAAAGAAAGCGTCCCCAAAAACAAAAATAAGCTGTTTCTGCAGAATGTATTTGTGTTATAAAAACATGATCTGAAGCCTTTGTTTAGCATCAAGTGCAAAAAAGAAAAATAAACAGGCCTCTTTTTAGACTGCATGTATAAATACAGTAATATTGAAAATAAGAGTATTGTGGTATTATGTTATTAAAAAGTCAAAGCAGCAGTGATACAGATTAAAGAATTAGATTTACTTTTACAAGGTCAGAAAAACATAATATTACAATAACTACCGGTAATACAAATAAGGAAACAATAACTCAGGTTTTTTCTGTCAATCGACAGAAACAGACAGAAAAAAGATTAAAAAAATAAATAAATAAAAATCTTTCTTTTGCTTTATATTAATTTGCCCCTTATATCTCCATATGTCATTGACGTATTTTGATGTATTGCTTTCATCATTACGTTTAAGAAGCCTGTACTGAGACATTTAAAGAGAGAAAATTCTTGCTTTAAACTGATTAGTTTTACCTTTGGGCATTTTTAAATGATTTAATTTGAGGCAATATTTCGTGTTGTATGCAATGTGCATACAAAATGACAATAAAGATGTCTAGGTCTTATCACTATTAAGGTCATCAAATTTTAGCTTAAAGTGGCTAGCCTATCGTAAAAACTAAAAAATGCATCCTTGGTGCTGCTATGCTGTGGAGGTAGAGGGCATGACCCATATACTGAATGTCACAGGTTTGAGTCCCAGTCCTGCTGACATTTGCTGAAGGCCTCCCTCCTCTCACGTCACCCACTTTCCTGTCTACATACTTTATAAACTAACAATAAAAATCAATAAAACCTAAAATTAATCTCTAAAACGAAAAATAAATAATGCATCCTTCATCAAATATCCAACATGAAGGGAGTAATCCAAATGCACATTTAGGTCAACCTTAACAATGTTTAATTTATGTACTTGTGACTTATTTGACCTAAACCCAATAGGGTTTTACTAAGTTCTTCTTTCTAATATTACTCATTCACTCAGCAGTTTAGTGAAAACAGAACTAAATCTTTTAAATATACCAACAAAGATTTTCTACAATTTAAAGAGTATGCAAATAAAAATAAAACAGCAGAATTGACATTTTATATATAGGAGTTTAATTGTGAATATCTTTACTATCTGTTTATAGTAGGATCCCAATTTAAGTGAATAATCATTACATCTTTTCCCCGTCACTGTCACCATATCAAACGTTTATCAGGTTTTATAGCACTTAGATTTATAAATAAGCTTAGACCTATATTACAAAGTATATAATGTAAGACATGGATCTTGATAAGGGTATAAAGAGAAGTTCAGCCAGCCGTTTTCATGTGTCCTATCTTTAAACCGGTTTATTTTCAGAATAGTCCACAGTTAAAACATTTTTACCAAACAATGCACTGACTCTGTATGCTGCACTTGGTCTGTCCATGAAGAGATGATGTTAATCAGAAAATAGCTTTGTTTTTTAGCTCTGTACTGAAAAACTGAGGTTTTTTTTAGGTGTTAATGGGCTGAGTAACACCTAAACACACTTGAAAAGAAGTGAGAGACAATGTAATTACTCCTTGTTTAACAGGCTTTCATTCACTCTCTCCTCTTAACCTTGATACATCTTTGTGTGAAAACCAAATCAGGTCAAGGCTAATTGCAACCACTTTTTCAAACAATATCTTGCTGTAATCATGCATTTTTATTTTTCATACATAACAAGCACATAACGGGGATTGTGAATAATACATGAATGGATGTGTAGGTGAAACACGGCCTTTGATTATGTATTCAAAGCAGCCTTTTTTTGCTTCTTTTGTTCAGGTAGTTATTTAAAAAAAAAACTTTAGAATTAGACAGCTTTAAGAGAAACAGATCTAGATGTGCAATTTATATAAAGATAACAAAGGGGTTGTCAACATGTTTAATATTTAACCATGCATGCAAAAAACCAAAGGGAACCTTCAGCACATCCTTTCCACATGGCATCATAGGGTTCTGTCCCTTGTGTGAATTGTTGGGAAATCATATTTAAATGTCAAATCATTCTGGCTTAAACATGTATATAAATGTACTATTTATCATATTGTCCCAAAATTGGGAACATTTCTATAAAAAAAAATCCTGTCTTAAAAACTGTGGTTTTTTTTGTCATTATCTTATGCAGGCCAGTTAGTTATACGTCAGCTTGTGCACCTAAATTCGGCCAATCATATATCAACGGTCATCTGTCAATTTATTTTTTCGGTCATCTTCATTCATATGTAGCAGCTAATATATGCTATGGTTGAAATAAGAAATAAGCATCATCATTTACATCACCGTTGAGTTTACATCCCAGTGTTCACAGGGATGGACGTCTGTGTCTTCAGCAGGCAAGGGCTCAAACATGTACGGCTGTAAGCCTTCTACACCAAACCAAGCTTCTGCGCCCTGGCGTCCTCTTCCACAACAACTTTGTCCCCACTTTCCATCTCTAAATTAAAAATGTATGACGGAGGAGACTCATCCACAACCTCCGGCATAAAACTCTTCTCCTCTTGCATGTTTCCGCTGTCCATAGCATTCAATGACAGTGTCGTTGCGAAGTACTACTTGGTCCCAATGTAATTTCCCAGTTGCTAACTGGTAAGCAAGATCCCTCAGAAAAAAACCGGCCACAACCAAACATGCTTGCGAATCTTGATAATCGATCAATCACATTCACTTGATTCACTCGTGTAAAGTTGGGCACCACTCTGGAGAATTCGGAAATGCAATGGTTGGAACAGCGGGTTTCCCTGCGACTTAAAAATTAAATATCTTTTTAATATTTCTTTTATGTTTATGGTTGATAAATAGTTAAAAAAAATCCAGTAGAAATTTGCAACATATTTTGTCAGTTTAAAGGTAGATTAGTATGTCATTCTGTGGTCTGTCTCAGAATATTCTGGTGTCTGACTGATATCCGACCCAGTCAGCTCCCAAAGGAGGATCTCTCTGTCTTTCATCAGAAACTGCCTGAATAGTCTAGGGTTACACTGATGGACCCCTTCTGGGCTCTTAGGGTATGTGTGTGTTTCCTTTTAGAGGGAATCCTGATTATTTGTGCATAACTCCGGGAGATTTCATTCATTTCAATCACAGCTCTTCTGATCCAGTTTAACCTTTTACCCCCCCATCCAATGCTTAAACCCTCCCCCTCCGACTCTTGGGAATCCCACTGGTAACCTCTCCTCACTCTGACAAAAACACACATTCTCTCCCCCTCCCCCAGAGGATTACTTTTAAGCAGGTGACTAATGTAGTCTGTTGACATGGCCAACAGATAACATTAAACTTCCCCCTTCCTTACCCACTTTTTCTCCCCTACTCCACCCTTCCCTCCTATGTAAATTAACCCCCCCTCCACCACACGCATTCCCCTCCTCCTTCTCATTCATTGGTGAGGGAAGCTTTGCAGCCCAAGGAGCAGCGTGGGCTTTGTTGTGGGTTTTCTACTGGGAGAAAAGAGGCGATGAGAGATGCAGCTAATAAAGACGCAGAGAATATACAATGAGGTGCAGATGAAGCAGCCGCTGGAGGGATAGAAGCAGTGTCTAAAAGAAACAGAGCAGTTACAAAGACAAACCAGGAAGCACAGACTTTTATTGTTAAAGACACCACTACCACCAGAGTTGGCTGCTCTACCCAGCACCCCATGAGACTTCTGCTCTGAAGTTCTGCTTTTTTTTGTTTGTATTTCCTGGTGAGTGCTGTTCCGTTTGTTCTGGTACATGTTTGAAAGGGAAGGTTTCCGTATGTCTTATTTTTAATGTTTCACCTTTTAAAATTAACTAAATAATGCTTGGTCACCTAACTTAATTGTGCAATTACCATTTAAAGGGTTTTTGTGGTTTCATTTGGTAACATGAGGATTACTGTTTTAGATTTGAGAAGTTGAAGTAGTGAACTGATTTTCACTAATGTGAAAACTTTCTTTTTTGGGTGGAAAGTCCCTGAATTATTAAATCAGTGATACAAAAACTAATACATTCATTTATTGTAGGAGGGAAAATAAGAATTAAGTTAATTTGTTGCTTCAGTAGAGAAATTATCTCCCTTCTTTGAATTCATCAAAAATTGTAGATTCTTTATTGATGCCTTAAAACTAGCATATAACATTGAACTGAACTGTTTACCAGCATTGGTTGC